TGGTTTATTGCTGCTTATAGAATGATTTTGAAAAAGCATTTGATTCTATTTCTCATGATTGTATTAGAAAAGTATTGCACTTGTTTAAGTTTGGTCCCTCTATTGTAAAATGGGTTAATGTATTCTATGAAAATGCTCAATCCTGTGTATTAATCAATAGACACCTGTCTCCAAGATTTTCAATACAGCGAGGTTGTCGTCAAGGAGATCCCATGTCAGCTCTTATCTTTCTATTATGCGCCGAAATACTAGGTCTCTTGTTTAGAAATTCCGATTCCATTGTTGGTTTGAGCTTACCTGGTAGACAACTTAAAATAATTCAATTTGCAGATGATACTCTTCTAACATTGAACGGGTAAGTAATGGAATTAAACAGTGCATTAAACATTTTAGATAAATATAATGCAATGTCTGGTTTAAAAGTTAAAATACAGAAGACACATGCGATTTGGATTGGAGGATTTAAAAACAAGAAAGATGGTGTTCTTTTGAATAGAAATCTAAATTGGGTATTTGATGATTATTTCAGATATTTAGGTATAGACTTTTGTACGGATTTGCCCAAATTGATAATTCACAATTATAATGAAAAATTTAAAGAAATAAAAAGTCAAATGACATCGTGGTTGAGACGATACTTAACTGTTCTTGGAAGAATCACTGTCGTCAAGTCATTATGGAATAATGATTACATTAAAATAGGCAATAGCTCAATATATAATAAAAAATTGTGTCAAAAGGGAGTTCGTTTTGTTAACGATATTTTAGACACAAATGGTGATTTTTTTCTCTCTGGAACACTTTCAAGAAAAGTATAATATTCAAATAATTTTTCTTTTTTATCGTGGATTATGCGATGCAATTAGACAAGGGTTTAACAATTGTACTATTTTTAACAAGGTGCCACAACCTCTTTTCCCAGATACAATGGCATTTGTTATGAAACGTATTAAAGGATGTTCACATATCTATGCAATATTATTAAAGAGAAGAAAAGGACTATGTAAAAGCTTTCTTAAATGGAAATGCATTTTTGACCTGAATGATAAGAGTTGGGAAACATATTGTTCTATTGGATTTAATTGTACCATTGATGTGGGCTTACGATGGTTTCAGTTTAAAGTCTTGCAACGCATATTATATACGAACGATCTACTGTTTAAAATGAATTTAGTCCCAAGAAAAGAATGTACATTTTGCAATGAACAGATTGAAACAGTTATACATTTGCTATGTGATTATATGCATGTAAAAAATATTTGGGGTAGGTTAGAACACTGGATTAATACTGGAACCGGAAATAAATTAACATTTTCATTACAAGATAAATTGTTTGGTTTAAAAGGTTCAAATAATTATGCACTGAATTGTATACTGATTGTGGTGCGACAGATGGTGTATACTTTCAAAATAAAGAAACAATTGCCCGACTTTGATAGTATTAGAGTTTCGATTATGAATTACTTCAAAAACGAAAAGTATATTGCAAATTCGAATTGTAGAAAAAATAAATTCACAAGAAAATGGTTTCAATTCAGGAATTTGTTTACTTAAAATGATATTTTTTCTGTATTTGTTTTTCTTTCCATGAGTGTTAGAAATGAATTATTGATTTGTTAGTTTTCTGTTAACTCAACAGCTCAACAGTACTTGTATCTTGAAAAGCCAATTTTATTTTATTTATGTTATTATGTAAATTACCTTGAATATATATTTTTGTATGTGTTTCAAATGAAAATCAATAAAATCCCTGTGGAGGGAAAAATATGAAAAGAAAAAAATAATAATAATAATAATTTTGGAATAGGCATATTTATGGATCTTTCCAAAGCTTTCGATATTCGATATTGTGGATCATGACATACTTTTATATAAGCTTAATTACTTTGGTGATAGGGGTATACCACTTCACTGGTTTCAGAGTTATTTACATAATCGCTATCAATATACTGTATTTAATTAATATTCTTCTGGTCGTTCCCTAGTTAAAAATGGTGTGCCCCAAGGATCTATCCTAGGCCCCTTGTTTTTTTTATTATATGTCAATGATATAATTAAATCCTCTTACAAATTTGAATTTACAATGTATGCAGATGATACAACATTATTCTATACGCCACCCAATGTTTTAGATTTAGAACGCAATGCTAATTTTGATGTGTGTAAAGTCTCTAAATGGTTTAAAGCTAATAGACTTCTTGTAAACAAGAAGAAGACTAATTTCATGACATTTTGTTTAAATAGTACGTTTAAAACTTCTAATACATTGAGTGACATTACCATTTGCATTGATTCTATTCCTTTAAAAAAGGTGAATGTTGTAAATTTTCTTGTAGTATATATTGACTGTAATTTAAAATAGGATACTCATGTGAACAATATTATTTGTAAAGTATCTAGATGTATTGGTATCTTATTTAAACTGAAATACTATCTGTCAGATCATGCTCTGTTCTCATTATATAATGCACTTGTATTACCACATTTATCTTATCGTGTCAGTGTCTGGGGTAACTGTGGCAAACTAAAAATGAACATCTTATTCAAATTACAGAAGAAAGTCCTGCGTATTTGTACCAGTAGCCATTATCTTGCTCATTTTTTAAAAATATTTTTTATCCACTGTTTGTTTTTAATTTGTTTACATGTCTTTCAGTAACAGAATAAGTTGAAAAACCAAATGATAGTTTATCCTTTTAGGGAAATTAATTTACAAGGCCCTTTGGCCTTATTTTAGTTTCCCTTTTCTCATTTTCGTCTAGTAAATTTTGGTGTCTTTGATACTGTTAACTTGTATAATTGCATGTAATTTTTTATATAATGTATATTGTTGTAATGATCTATTGTTTTTATATGAAAATAGAAAATAAATGAACAAATGAAATGAAATGACTTCCCACATCTCATGAAAGTCCCCCTTTCACCTCCGATAAATGCCCCTATTAAAATCTGATCGCTGCCCCTTGTCTTGGCGTGGAATCCAGGGGGCTGAACTCCATGAAGCCCAGGAGTTTTAGGGATTTAATTAAGTTCAGTTGAACATTCAGGGGCCGTCTTATGGTCCGTGTGGGGTCCAGGGAGCCGAGCTCCTGGAATCTCAAGGCATATGATTACAGTCACTGAGATGAGCATATTTTAATACCTTATTTGTGACACTGGCATGTCACTAGTTGGCGTGGATGCTCAAGAGTTTTAGGCATTTGATTACGATCAGATGAGCATCCAGGGGCCCATCTTAAGGCCCTTGCTGGGGTCCAAGGGACAAAGCCCCCGGTAGCCCAGGTGTTTAAGTTTGTTTTCATTACGGTCAGATCAGCATCCAGGGACCCACCTTAAGGCCCTGACATAAAGGCTTCTAATGAGCATATTTTTGCCCGTCTGTAAATTTGGGATTTGTAGTTTCCAACGATCACATATAATTTATCAAAAAAAATTGAGAAAAAACCCTGGAAAGTCATGTCATTTTAGCAACATTCGTAGATCACTTAAGGCATCGAATTAGAAAAAAAAACACATTTGAATTTTTTTTTTTTTGGGAGGGGGGGGGGGGGGGCTCATATCTTCTCACCCATATATTAAAAACACAAACGATTTCTCATCCTCTCACAATATTTCCACAATATACGCGTATCGCTTTTACCAAATCCACCGTTGATAATTATAGGGGCATGCGGTATGTTTAGGAAATTTAATAACTGTTTCCTTTTATTTAAATGGAATATTAATTTTTGTTTTGATTCAATTCATGATTCATTATATGCTTTCTTTTTGGTTGAAGAATAAAATAATTTTTACTCCTTTACAGCTGATTTTTTTTCGGAGGGGGTGGGGCTTCTTTTGGAAGGGGGGGGGGGGTCTGAAAATAAGTTTTGCTCCCCAATTTTGTCGTTTGGAGAGGAGGGGGGGGCGACTGTAGACTTTACATTTTTACTATAACAGTGTATGTAGCATAGAACATAAATGAAGAGTACAAAACACATAATTATATTACTTGTGTAAACACACTTTATTTATCACCGCAATTATGTAATCAAAATTGATATCACTAACTGGAATAATAATTAGTACATAGAGAGGGTAGTATATCGGTTATAAATTACTATATATTAATAACATTTATTAATAACAGTGTTAATTGACTAATTAATAATTTGGCGATTTCTGTTTGAAATACAGCCCACCTCTAAGAGATATAGACCGGTAATGGACAAATTGCGGTTCAAGGGTTTTGGATTCAAAATATCCATGTAATATTGTTTAAATATTGACTTCAGAGGTTTAGATGGCAAAACTTTAACCTAAATTCGCAAAAAAGCAGAAATATATGCCCAAATGTTCAATGTTGAAGTGCATTCGCGATATCTATCCAGTCCGGATCGATATGATAATTTACCAAATATATCTATTAGTAGGCAGTTTTCCCGGCAAAATTTGTTTAATTATGTCTTACATTGTACTACCCTTATATAACTTCTATTACTGTAATATGCCTTGTATTGTATTATCCAATTATCGCAAATTATGTCCTGGAGTATGTTAAATTTTAAATTATGTGTATTTTACTTTCTTTTTTGAATTACTTGATGGTCGTATGCCCACAATTATACAATTTCCACACAACTGGGCCAGAAGTGTCATTTTTGACAGACATGGCGCATTATAAATGTTCACTATTATCTATTATTTATTATTATGTGTCAAAACACATCTTTCACATGATGGGTAATAAGAGGTTTCATTTCATTTTGTGAGAGGAGGGGGGGGGGGGGAGTTTCCAAAACTGGTCTTTACCTTTAACATATATTTTTCGGGGGGAAGGGGGGGGGGGTAGGGAGGTTGGCGGCTGTCACAGTATTGATGAGCTTCCGTTGTCATGGATGAAATGAGAGTGACGTTGATCGTACGATGACGATGTGTTGTTGCACAAGTTCCACTAGACGTTACCCAAGAGTATGGCGGGTGGAGGGGAGGGAGGGGGGGGGGGAGGAGGGCGGGGGTAGGGAGGTTGGCGGCTGTCACAGTTTCGATGAGCTTCCGTTGTCATGGATGAAATGAGAGTGACGTTGATTGTACGATGATGGTGTGTTGTTTCACAAGTTCCACTAGACGTTACCAATTACTCCGTCGATGCCTTGTAAAAATAACACATATGAAAGCGACGTAGTTAATCATCAGAATATTAACTGTTACATGAAAACGTAACGGTCTGCGCTTGAAATATAGCCATTATAATGATACAGCGTGCATGAACATGGGAAATATAATCCTAGGAGCAGGCGCGGATCCAGGATTTCTTAGGGGAGGGCCGGGGCCCAACTTTTTTTTTTTTTTGTTCCCGAAAATTTGAAAATCGCGCCGATCGAGAGTTCGCTCAGTGGGGGGGGGGGGGGGGGGGGGGGGGGGGGGGGGGGGGGTAGGGGGGGGGGGGGGAAGGGGGGGGGGAGGGGGGGGGGGGGTTGTGAGCACATTTTTTTTGGTTCTCGAAAATTTGTAAATTTGCACCCCTCAACCCCCAAAAAGGTAAAAATCAAGTGTTTTTACATGATTTTGTTCTCAAGGGGGGAGGGGGTGTGAGAAATATTATTTTTTTTTGCTCCCGAGCTCATTTTTTTTGTTTTTTTTTTTTGCTCCCGAAAGTTTGAAAATCGCGCCGGCCGAAAAGTAGCTCAGTGGGGGGGGGGGATGGGGGGTGGGGGGGGGGGGGGTAGTGAGCAATATTTTTTTTGGGTTTTGTTTTGCTCCCGAGCACATTTTTTTTTTTTTTTTTTGCTCCCGAAAATTTGAAAATCGCGCCGGCCGAAAAGTCGCTCATTTTGGGGGGGGGGGGGGGGGGGGGGGGGGGGGGGGGGTAGTGAGCACTTTTTTTTTTTGGTCCTCGAAAATTTGTAAGTTTGCACCCCTCCCCCCCCCCCCCCTTGAGCGCCAGGGGGGGGGGCCAACCCCCAAAAAAGGTAATAATCACGTGTTTGACATGATTTTTTTCTCAATGTGGGGGGAGGGGGGGCGGGCCCCCCAGGCCCACCCTGGATCCGCCACTGCCTAGGAGAGCTCTCAACTGGTGAGCTTAAGATTCTTAAATGAGGCTCAGCTTCAGGAGGGACGATAATATTCATGACATGACGTTGAGGGTCACGATGATTAGGAAAATGAAAATAACTGTTTCTTTGTTTTATTTCTCGCTAGATGTTTTAATCTTTATGCCTATCATTTTTTGTTTTGTGTGGTAGCTTTCCGTAACTTTACAAGTCTACTGATATGGGTATGGTCAGGAAGATGGTTCAGGCCTTTTCTTTTTTGTCCTTTCCCCTTCTCATTTTCTCTTTTTCTGGCCTTTTCTGGAATTTTCTACATTGTCTCTACCCGGTGGGATGGATGGGGCACGTCTATCCCTACCCCATAGATAAAGAAATGGTAACAAATAATAATGTTGAGATAACAGTAATGCAAACGGCGAGGAATACATTATCAGAAATTCATGGTAAATCTTACTTTTTCCCCATCATCCTCCATGCAACCATTAGTACAACCAGGCTGCAGTTCCACTTCGGTGTGCCTGTCTCCCGATTCATCTAAATATAATAACATGATGATATAAAGGCAATAAGTAATACCCTGTTGGTAGAATGTGTATCGTCGAGTAACGGGACATGTATCTTTGAGCAAAATTCTGATAGATTTAATATTTCCTAAATAATAAACAACTTTATTTCTTTAATAATGTGTTACTCAAATGACATCTTCGGCTGGTTTGGTAGTTTTATAAATTTTGTTTAAACGTTACACTATAGACTACAAGGTTCAGGATAAACATTATAAACAAGATTAGAACATACATATTTCAGTACAAAACTCTAACATCGATAGGTTAAATGCGCTGATTATTTGTATCCAATTGTAATAATATATAATTATGCTGGTCATTCAAGTCTGGGTTTCAATTTTAAAAACAACCTTGAAAAGAATTCTTTCTTATACAGGTTTCGAAACGTTTGAGACTTTGAGTGGTGAAATCTTCATCTTTCCTGTACGAGAGTTGGTTTCCATTATTGCAATTGATCACTACGATTTGAAGCAGATGGGGATTTGTCTTCAATTGCTAATTGTAAATACACATTGAAAATTGCATCAATTAGGAAGAGTTAACAAGAAAATATATAATGCAGTTTCTCCAGGAATGTTGTCGCCTGTGCGGTGGCTTAAAATATAATATCCATAAATAATTGCTTCTAATTAGAGGCTAAAGACTTTTAGATTGTGTTTTGTCGTCATCGTGGTGATTATGTGCAGGTGAAGTTTAAAAGTTTTTTTTTGGTAACCCACTGGGAGTATTTAACAGTTAGTTTGTAAACGCAATCCTTGCCAGCTATAACGTATAACACATACAGGGGTGGGGGGGGGGGGGACCTTAACCATAGCGTTCTGAGAGAGAGATAGTAAGTTGTAACAAGCGCATACTTACGCGATCAAAGGAGCTCCAAATAGTTCCACACACATAGTTTACAGTCTTTATAATTATGGATAGAAACTATTTGGAGCTCCATGAATTGACATTTGATCGCGTACGTGTGTGTGTGTCTCTCTCTCTCTATTTCTCTCTCTCTCTCTCTCTCTCTCTCTCTCTCTCAATATGCTATGGTCTTAACGTATAGGCATACTAGCTTCATAATAGATATCGCCTTAGAAAGGGCTATTGATATCAGGTAGGCCTATTTTGATCAGTACTGTTGTAGAGGCACGTTTTTTTAAATAGCTACCAACGTAATTTAGATAAGGCAGCTAATTTTCTTGGTTATGTTTAGTACACAGTACCAGGTAGGTTTAGAGCTAGGTTTTGAGTAAGGGTTGTCTATCGTTTAAATTTGTTTTCATTAAAAAAAAAAAAATCATGCCTCTACAACTGATTAATGGTGCATACCAGATAAGCATTATGGTCCATGATATCAAGCTTAAGTCAGGTTGCAATCGAATCATATCAATCATCTCAGCCCTGCCCTTTGTAGCTATTTGCAAGCTGGTTTAGACCTTTATTACTGAAACAACTAAAAACACTTTAATGGCTCAACTCTGTGCTTGACAATTATCTTACCGCTTTCAGGTTCAGAGTTTTCGCTTGAATCAGCAAGGACACACACCACCATCATCACCACCAGTGCTAAGATGAGCAACTTCATGACTGCTTTTGATAACGGCTACTATATGCAAGAATCAACGAAAACATTGTTGCAAATGTGTGTTTCACTGATGACAACTTCAAAAATGTATAATTTTTATAAGATATCGCTCAAATTGTACTAATTTGTTTGTCTCACTTTTCTGCTTTTATTAAAACTATTAAAAATATCATGATGGACTTCCCCTTTACAGTACTATGTCCCATTTGCAGGCCAAAAAAAAGGGGCAAATTCCAACGGTATTTGAAAGACAATACTAATTAAGAACTTCCCTCAAAACAAAAGGGCTTGAAAAACGGTCGTACGTCGTACGTTTTGTGCTGCACAAAGATTCTATAAGTTTAATTTCGGCTATTACAAGTAGTGGATTATTGATGTAGACAAATGCTCATGTACCTGTTACAGCTCATTTTAGGTATGTTATTACCAAAGATACGAAGATATCAGTCAGTCACTCAATAGTGTCTGACAGTGAAGTCTATATAGAAAGTAAACGGTTTTTGTGTGCATAATTTAAATACTAGGACACTGCTAATGTTTAAATTTCACAGATAGAACATACATGAAACGGGAAAATATAAAATACCAGAAAAAAAAACGCCCCCGAATCTACGATTCTGTGAAGACTGTAATATGAATCTTGTAAGAGATGAATTCCATATAATTATCAAATGTGACAAGTACAACGATTTACGAGTAGATTTTATAGGAAAAATAGTAATCTGGAAGAAAATTCTAGTAATTTGGAAAGTCAAGAAAAATTCATATTTATAATGAGATTAGACAATAAAGTTGTAATAGATATTTTCATCGTTCACCAAAAACATAATTGCAATGAGGGGTAATTTTTTTAGATACACTGTAATAACAAAGTAGAAATGTACAATCTTATGCTCTTGGTTTAATTCTGCAGTAGGTCGCAGTTATGTATAAGTACTATTACGTCATTTATTTTAGGCATTCCATGTACCTCATTTACCTATTTTGTATGGCATGAGTTATAATTTATTTGGAAAAGTGCTGTTTATGTTTTATATATTTAAATCTTCGGATGTAAATTGATACATTATATCATGTTATTACTAAAGGAAAAAAGAGTGTTTCTACTGAATATAATTCTCCTACTGTTTTGCTATAAACACTGCATTGTAAATTGATTTATACGGTATATATGTTTACAGAATATTGATTTGTTACATTACATTGCAAATTGACTTATATGACATATGTTTCCTAACAGAATATTGATTTGTTACATCATATTGTAAAGTGATTTATATGTTTATAAACAGAATATTGATGTACATCAATGAAGTTTAATAAATACAATACACTAAATGGCATATTCATAATTCCTGCAAAAATCTACAGAATTTTATGTTGGCTGCAAAAGGGACATAGTATTTTTAAAACAGTTGGATAATATTTTACACATAGGAGGTAAACAAAAACAAAAAAAGACAAAGAACCAACACTAGGTAATGTTTAACCAATTTCTGGTACATTTTACCTAACTACAAACATGCAATAATAATAATCGCTCATAACCAACTTTGAGTTTAAAAACAGTTAGTATTTTGAAAGCAAATACCAATGTAAGTCAGTGGATTAAAGACTTACCAAAAGACGCTAGCACACTTAGACCTCCCGTTTACGAGATCACTGGGCCATCGTACCCCTCAAAATTGCCAAAGCATAGCTTATGATTAATGTGCACTAAAAGCCCGTTGCACAAGAGGCGAACAAATGTCTAAAGAAATGCAGACCTACGCTCAACAACTGAATATACATTAATTATTCCCAAATTCTTAATCTCAACGACCGAAAAGCGTTTTATAGTGGCTGCTTCGGAAGATAATTAACCTGCCTTACCACTTTTAAAAGATCCCATTAAAACATACTTGTTCCCTCAGTAATAAAGATTGATTCACCTATCTAATAGTATATTGTTTCTCTTTACATTCTGTTACTTAGTAAGCGATAAGGTACTTTTTGTTTTAGCACTCCTAAATAATCGATATCATTGTCAATACAATTACAAACTGACGGAATCAGAAAAACGTATCGTGTCCAACAGTCATAACGTAAGGGATGTTGGTCCTACCTGATTTCGATGCGGTGTTCGAGTAGAATTCTGTGAGATGATGATATACTTTCTCGTAGCTTGATGTAACGAAGTGTTTCTACCCAGATATCTGTTGAATTACTGTCTAGATAGCTTCTAGTTTTATAGAATATCGAAGCCTGAAATGACCTTCTGCTCGTAACCGACAAGTCATCGCATTCAAATTAAATTGCAAAAAGTGTTCAACAACACGATGGTGGATGAAACTTTCTAATATTCGAAGATATATGACCCTGAGACCATATTGTTTCATTATTTTTATTCAATCAATCAACGTCAAAGAATTGATTTATCATCGCTCTTCAATTTATTATTTCACCTTTGTATGTACTTTCATTCTTATGCATCACGAAAGAACACTGAATTGGATTCTTCAATGTTTGATTAATTTCCTTCCCTTTCCTTATCCCTGTTTAATACTGATAAAATTTTCAATTTTTCTTAATCAAGGCAAAATATTATTTTCATATTTTCTTTATGCAAGAGAGAGAGAGAGAGGGAGAATATGTTAAGTGAGAATTATCGAGTACAACTATGAATTGCATCCTTTTCAATAACTCAATTAGCTAAAAATATTCAGAATTTGAATATGATAAATCCACATAATACACCAACGCTGTTAAACGCATCCAACGCTCCAACCATAGCCCATATGCCAATACACTATATTTATCAAATATGAAAAGATTTTTAAATGAAATTTGAAGAAAAGTCAAGCACTGACAGGCATCAGTTGAAATCATGAATTCTCTGTGACTGGCTTAGCACTAGTTTGTGAGGGACCAGTCACTGAAGATCCATAATTTTACATGTGCCTCGAAATACAGTACATTTGATTGACATTCTTCATCAACAAATGAAAAAAACTAAGCATGTAAGCTATGAAGATATAGAAATCAAGTATCAATTCACACCTTTCTACAAAATACACACAAACACACACTATCACACGCACTCACGCAAACACAAACGCACCCACGCAGACACGTACACACGTACACACGCACACACACAACACACTCGGTAACAATTATTGTTTCATAATTTCCCCTTTTCTGATTAAGCATTCATTTTTATCAAGATCGCTGAATGTTTAAGTGGCATTTCCCTGACAATCTTTCACACTACCACCATCATATCATCATCATCATCATTGTCATCATCTTAATCTTTATCATTATCAACATTTATCTTAATACGAAGGTACATTATCAATCGTTGGCTATCGTGTGTGCGTGTGTGTGTGTGTGTGTTTGTTTGTTTTGTCTGTCTGGCTGTTTTTGTTCAAAACACTATTTTATTCCTCACCCAGCAACTTGGCACAAGTAAGATCTGGCAGTCTTGTGAAGATTGTTTGATGTTCAGTCATGCATGCAGAGATTCAAATGAAAATGGTACCTAAATGTACTGGGAGGATAACTCTATCAAGATATATCATGAAACCCATGATCGAATTTTCGTACTTCAAACAATACAACTTTTAAAAAGTGGGACATTTTTTCTGACTCACTCTGTACATTATGAAGGTCGGGCAATGGCAAGATCAACTGCAAAAGCAGGCCGTATGGTGTTTTCAAATCGACTTATTCATGAAATACTTTTTCGATTATCTCTTTCAATTTAAATTTGGAAAGCTATCACAGAACATCCGGCTGGAATAATGTAATTGAAATTTTTAATTTAATACTCTATTTTTCACCTAGGCTAATTTTACATGACCTTGTTCACTAGCGGATACTGCCTTTAAAATCAGGGATTGCATACTGCATAGCCGGCCGCGCATTTTTTCCCCCAAACAGGCTTACCTATGAGCGTAAAATCCTGCCTCCTGATTGGTTCAGAGGTATACGCAACATGAATATTCATGACTGAGCTGCAAAGATAATATTACGCATGCCCGTGACACAATTCAAAGCTGATCATAGCATGCAGCCAGGCCCCCCCCCCCCCAAGCTCCGCCATTTTTTCCAGATCCATTAGAAGCCAAAATAAGCCCCCCCCCCCTTGCATAATTCATGAGCCATATGAATTATGCATTCTGTAGGATGCTCCCCGCGAAAAGTGTACTGGAATGATGTTCACTACATGGTAAAAGACAATGCGCGTATCAGCGTAATAAGAGAGGTCAAATAATCTACTGTACGGAATTATGGGTAATTTATTCATCACGCTGCGCGCTAGCAACGCAAGTGATTCAGCGAATCAGCGTGGATTATTCTGATGCGATCACCGTTAGGTGAAATACGCGCTCGAACTTGTATTATCGATCACCAGTATAACAGCTGGTGTACCCAGGATGCATCTGGAAGTGGACCTTAAAAGTTCCTCTCGTTGTTGTGTTGTTGATGTTTTTTAATGTGGGGAGTGGCCATAACGTAAGAAATACTGATATTCTTAATGTCTCGATCTTATTACCTTTTTAGTCTATTAATAACTGGGTCTGTTTTTGTTTTATTAAATCAAACATGCTATAAGCTATATAACAACACATTATCTGGCTATTTTTAAATATGTTAATGTATAAAGTTTCCTTATTTTAGACAAACAAATTATGTGGCAAAGTGGATGGTGTTTCTCCACCCACTCTCATCGTACCTTAATGATTCCCTTTCTCCCTCTTTCTTTGTCTTTCGTAAATTATCTTCTGCAACTAACGGTTTGTTGTCTTGACTGAACAACCTGTTGCAATTCCTTTCTGTCTCACTTTCAGTCGTAGTTGTTATTACCACTCATTTATATTTACTCGTTATCAACTACGATCAGCCATTCCATATTCACTCCATTACTGTCCACATTTCACTTGGATTATCTTCACTTTTCCTTTTTGCAGCCTTTGCAGGAGCTTTAAACATTTTTAATGTAGAGACCAGAGAGATCGGAAAATATGTTATTCATTTTATTCAAATTTTCTAACTTGAAAACGGAAAGTGAAACATTGTTTTTCAACATCTTGACATAATTTGTGTTTAAAGACAATGGAATTTAACACTGGAAATGGGCGTCAATCCTTACGTAATACCTATTGTTCAGGGGGATGAATGAATAGATCATCCCCCTGAACAATAGGTATCAATTACAGATCTACGCCCATGCCCCCCCCCCAAAAAAAAAAAAAAAAAAAAACAGAAGTTGTACCAGGGTTAGTTAGTTAGGAGGCCCATGTCATTTCTAATTTTATTTTTAAAGAATAGTTTTCTCTTTTTTTATTAATTTTACATTTGTATACCAATAATTTCACTGGGAAAACCACCCCTTCCCTTACACATCAATACTGCCATTACTTCTAGCAACAGTAATTCTATAATTCAAAACGTTTTCATTTTCTAAATCCTTCTATTATAAACATATAACAAATATAATATTGTTTATGTGATAATGTACAAAACTTTATATACAGAAGTCCATAGACTGAGGTAAATGAATTTCAACATGTATAATTATAATCAAAATATCATTGATTAATTCAATCTTTGATATAGACTGATATATCTTCATCACTTAAATTTCAAGGAAATTTTTTTCTGCCCAGCCCTCAGTTTCATCCTATAAGATGGTAGTTGACATTGTTAAAATGCTAATGTTTATTCATTGATGATTAGTTATCTTTAATTATTTGAAAGTTGACAAGATGATAAATTCATTAGCTTTTTTAATTGTGGTATTCTACAAACATATGATACAAATAATAAATAAATAGTATGTAAATATTCAAGTTTAAACCCATCTCTACTGTCTTCTTTCATTTTATGAGGGTGGCATCTTTAAGACGTAGTCCCATGTAGATGTCTTCTGCATTTGTCGATGAAGTTGTAGGCTAGTTTTCAGAAGAAAGGGCTGTGATGATAACCCAAGTCTGTTGAATGGAAAAATGAAATAAGATACAGTGTATAAGAAAATAAACAACAACTAATTACATACACCCTGATACCTGCTCTGACAAAAAGAGGAAGGACTAATATTCACTTGGGATTCTAGTGGGCAAACCTAAACTACTTTTCTTACAAGACTAGTTAATGACCACATGTTAGATTATTTCTGATGATCCCATTAAGACAATAGGCCTGATGGAGCTTGGATCAGACAAGTATGAAATAAGTAATACCGGTACATGTACAATGTACTTGTAATGTAAACTCGTGGTCATAACTGAATAATACTCTGTTAAGTATGGGACATAAAAAGACCAAACAACTTGGAACAGAGAATGTACCGGAAATAATGCTATTGAAACATACGTTATGTAGACTTATATTTCATGTTTATTGACATCTTATTTTTAATCTAAATCACAATTGTGATATTCAGTCAAGTATTCTTTTACAAGTCAATGGACAATGAAAATTATATTTGTCAGATCTATAACTTTCTACATGATATGTGTACCTGCATGTATATTAGCACACTTGCTCGTATGAAGAGTATAGTAGGCTCGCATCTCTAGATATGATCCTGTCAATATCTGTTATTTGTTCCTCTCCTGAGTTTGTAAACCAGCATGCCTTCATCATCCGCTGTAGAGAAGCATCATCCTACATGAGAGAAGACAATGTAGGTACTTCAATTTAAAAGTGATAATAATGGATACACACCAACCATAATACATCCTATAAACAGAAGTTCATTAATTTTATTTTGTGTTCTTCTTCATCTGCATTACTCAAGAAGTAAAAGGACCACTTACAACAAAAAAGTGATGAGGGTTCCAGTGTTTACCCTACATGTATGATCATGTAGTGCTTTGAATGTGCATTAGACATCGTTCTTCTTCACACAGGACCTCCTGTATTAAAATAAGGACGAATTGCAATAAGAAATACAATGAAAATGCTGTTATTGCCTTTTTCTCAACTTTTAATTCTTCCGTTTGAGTTGGCTTATTTCCAACTTGACATATTATCAACATAGATAAGAAATCATATAGAAACATTTCTATAATTCCGTTCGAGTTTTAGCGGTAGCATATTTCCAACTTGACATACTATTAACATAGATATAAAATCATACAAAAACCATTTACATATTTCCGTTCGAGTTTTTGCGGTAGCATATTTCCAACTTGACATATTATTACATAACATAGATATGAAATCATATAAAACCATTTCCATAATTATTTGTTTGCAATGGCGGAAGGCGACAGACTG